AGACTGTTGGATGTTTTCCAAGTAATAAAACTTACCTAATAAAAGATTCTTCAATCTTTGGTGCCAAAATAGCAGCAGTTGTCAGATCAACGATGGCAACACTATCTCTCATTCCAGCTCTTTCAGATAAAACCTCAATAGAATTAACTTCACCAGACGATGATTGCTTTGCCTTCGAGCCGCGCTTTAGCTTTTTACGGAAGTCCGAAGACAATGCTATGGTAGCTGAGAAAACAAATGTTTGTCTTTTCTTCTTTGGTGCGTCTGAAACTACAGTTTCCATTTTCCCTTCATTTGTTTTATCTGTCGCTGGAAGCAAGTCAATTATAGACTGCAGCTCCCGGAAATGCCCACCTTCAACCATGCGATCAGCCTCATCCAACACAAAGAAAGACAAGCATTGCAGCTGCCAAAGACGATCAGGAAAAAGACATATCCATTTAGACAGTGTCTAAGAGTAGCTAAATACCTATAACAAATCTACAGACATGCTTAACTGATTACTGCATTTAAGGTAAAACTTAATAACTAGACCAGAACTGGTTAATGTAGGAGCAAGATACCGCATAAAAAAAGCAGAGTGTTCTTTTTAATTTGATCAACAATTATACATTACATACCTCTACAAGGTGTTTTTCTCCAGCCGACATGAGTTCCCATAACCTTCCTGGAGTTCCAACAACTATTTCTGGTTTTCCTTTCAGAAGTCTTTCCTGTTTCGCTGATGACATCCCACCAACAATAGGAACGACCCTGACGCCGAGATTTTTGGCAGCATTCTTAAGATGTTCCGTCACCTGGAAAAAGAAAACGTTGGATATGTAAGTGAACAAAGAAGCAAGTCGGAAACATAAGAAAAAGCAGTGTGATGATGCTAAAAGCTACCTGTAGAGCAAGTTCCCTAGTTGGCGTGATGATAAGAGCTCGTAAGTAGCCATCTGCAGAATATTTCTGCGCTTCCTCTCCCTTCAATGCAAACAACTTACCAACTTTTTCCCGCTCATCTAAGAGACGTTGGAGTATGGGCAATCCAAAAGCAAGCGTCTTTCCAGACCCTGTCTCCGCAGCTCCAATAACATCCTGTGATCCAAATATGAACCATGCATCAGTAAAATGTAGGTTATTCGTAGAAACTCAAGCCTGTCATCTATCTTCATCTAACCTTTCCCTGAAAAGCTGCAACGGTAAAACAAGCCTTCTGGATTTTAGTAGGCTCCTTGAATCCGAGATGGTATATTGACTTCATGAGTAGTGGATGAAGTCTCATCAAACTCCATGCACTATACTCCGGGGGAATCTCTTCTTCTTCTTCACCATCTAACTCTTCTGTTTTGTTCTCCTCATCACAGCTAACTGCTACAAATAATGATATATCAGTCAACAAAAAAAGTATAGTTTGAAAAATAGACCAACAAATACAAACAAGTTGTTAAAGCAAACAAATTCATCTTTCAACTGAATCTAAAGTGAAGATAGTTCGATCGAAGCTGTCCACCACAGAGTCCAACACTAATAAAGTGTCCCTTTCAAATCTTACAGCAACTTAGTCATATAGCAACAACTACCAAGTCTTGATTACCTCTTTTGCACCAAAAGCTTAAAAACTCAAACAAGAGAGTATGTGAAACTAGACTAACCAGCAGGAGAATCCTGAACCGTTTCAACCTCCGTAACCCTCTTCTTCCTCTCCTTCTTCTTCTTATTTTTATATTTCTTCTCTTTTTTCTTAGGAGTCTCCTCTCCTTTACTTTCTTCTCCTCCTCCTTCTTCTTCAATAATCTCTTCTACAGCCTCTCCCTCACCATCATTGCTCTCTTGAGCTTTCTTCTTCGACTTCAACCCTTTCTTCCCTTCTCCACTTTCATCCACAGGAACATCCGCAAGATCAAGATTGTAATCAGCTTCATCAATTTCCTCAAGCGAAAGAAACCCTAACCAACAAAGCATAAAGTCTCAGACTTTGTGTGCTAAAGCAATGAATCAATGCACAAAGGAAAACTCTTTAAAAAGAATATTAATTATTATACCTCCGTCAAGCTCGTCTGAACCTGCGAAGAGAGTGGAAAACGTTTCGCCCTCGTCGTTTTCTCCGATAGGTATAGTAGAGCTCCACGGAAGTGAATCCAATCGTTCGAGCTCTTCCTCTCGCTTCCTCTTGTGACCTTTTTTGTTCCTCTTCTTCGCCATTGAGGATGATTCTCCGACGCCGGAAGACATGGTCGCCGTTGATTTGAGAAGCTTTGACATCTAGTGGAGGCGTGTAGAGATAGATTCTGGAGAAGAGAAAAAGAGTTTTAAAATTTTTGATAAACCCTAAATCAGAACGATGATGAGGTGTTGTAGCTGTGGTTTAAATTAAACCGAAATTCGGTTTAGTAAAATTAATTTAAACCGGATAATTTTGGTTTATATACCGAGTTCGACTTTGTCGCATTAATCAGATCGATGATATCCCGGTTTGATTGGATTAAAAGCTCAATAAACCAGAGGGGACTATAGGAGACTTGTAATATTTTTTTTTTTGTCACCTGCCCATATAAACTGCATCAAATGATAGTTTGTTGAGTAGATTCTCCAAGGATCATCTACGTCTTCCCAGATTTGATCTATATGGGGAATGTATATCTTCTAGTTCTTGTTTCTTTTATTAGCGTGTCCGTTCGACCATTCCTATTTGGAAGAATATGAAATAGGCTCACATCCTCAAAATCTTCATGTATTCTCTGAAACATTTCGATCTTTGTGCTAAAAGTCGGTCAATCTCTGGATTAGTAGTCATGTCCACTAAATTAGAGCAGATCATGATAAACTTTTCATTATATACTACCATGGTCTGCTAATAACAGTGTATCATGATAAACTTTTCATTATATACTACCATGGTCTGAGTGAAATTTTAAATGCAAATTACTGATTATTTATTTTTTAATATTAGGAGTTAATATGTTACTCTCTGTGGAGACTCTTTTGGCTTCTCATATAAGTAGTGAGGCTATTTACAATTTTTTTATATTCCAACTTTTCGTATTTGCACCAAGATAAGAGGGAAAGTAAACCGGAGTGAAAATATCAAACCACATAAGATTGGTCTGTTCAATAAATGTGTATACCAAAACCGAACCATTAAAGAAAAAAAAGTAAAAGAATCTCACGCTGCACAAAGCATCCCCCACTACTAGTTTCGTAACATCATATATAAGTCAGAAAGAATCAACAACTCTCAACCCCAAAGAACCAAGAGAGACAAAAACGGTAACACCATGAGAAGAAAGGTGTACACACGTCCTCTGTGACCATTGCTAGGTAATATAGAAGGAAGCGAACATTGCTGACCGTTGAAAAACACTTTTGTCGGAAACCCATCTCCAGCACCAACATTGATCCCAGGAGTTAGTTTCTTAGTAAAAGAGATAACAGACTGTTGCTTACCGGGAACCCTATAGTCACTACTCGGGTTCTTCCCATCTACCTCACCAACGAGATAGTTCAAACCAGGAAGCCCTTCCATCAGAACAGTACTGTTCTTCCCATTAACAGCAACCGTTGTTCCATTAAACGAGTAAGCCTTCTCAAAACCTGGCGCACCATTCTTCAGCTCCACAGCTGCAAACCAGTCCGCGAAGTTTGTTCCTCCCCAGTTAAAGATCGTGACTCTAGCGGTCCAACCGCCTCTATAGTCAGTAGCTAGATGCCAGTTTATGCTGACTCCACAGTTGTCTCCACAAGGTAATGGGTTTGGAACTCTTCTGTGTTTCAACTGCGCCCATTTTGTAGCCATCTTGGTTCGATTCTCAAAGGGAATGAGAAGAGCCTGAGGTGGTAAGAGAAGAGCTGGGGAAGTAGTGCTGCATGTTCTGTCCACTCTGTCGCTAGAACATCCTCCACAAGCGCAGGTCTTGCAAGGGATGATTGAGTCGTTGAGGTAAGAGGAGAAAGACACGCAGCAGCTAGGGATAGCTGGTTGAGTGATGTTGCAAACCACTTGCCAGCTAGCGAACGCGGTCCGGTTTGAAGGTAAACCGCTTGGATCAGGGAACTCACTGGCGCTAACTCGAACAGGAGGGCCACATTTGTAATCAGGGTTGAGATTACCTTTGATCTGCCAGCTCTGAGGTGGAGTGATGGCAGAGATGTTTACATCAGGAGGCATTTTGTAAACCTCCATTTGAAAAACAGATTTAGACTTGGTTGGATCCATGGACGGTGGCAAAATGGTTCCGTTTCTGCAGCAGTATGGTTTAAGTCCAAGGTTTGAGTCGTTGTATTTAGTCAAAGGGAGGTCTATAATATGTGGTCTTCTTGCACAGCTTAGGACATTGGAGAAGTCTAGTCCTCCATAGTATTTTCCTTGTGGACCATCTATGCAAGCTGATGAATCTATGATGCTTGGATAAGCTCCTTTGGTTTGGATGATGAACTCATCTTTCATCCAGGCGAAACTTAGATCCCAGTTGTCTAGACGGCCTAGAGGGTTGTGATTCTCTATAGTGACTTGCGCCCAGTAACTTGATGCATATGGTCTTGTTATGTCGTACATGATGGTTAAGTCTCCTTTTTGTCTTGGAAGGAACTTTACACCAACGGGAGATGTTTTGTTTTTTGGATTAGGCATGCAACATACTTGCAAAGCATTTTTACCTGAAATAAAATCAGAGAGAATGATTATAAAATGTTAGTAAAACACACACACACACGTTAAAGATTTTGATTACATGTGTTCAAGGAAACGTGTTTTTAGAAGACAGAACTATTCTCCTAAGCAACTTAAATGGTCTAATATGATACACTATTGGATAATAATACAAACTTGTGACAAGAAATCAAGAAAAGCAATAGACTTTTTCAACGAATGATTAAAATATAAAATAGAACTAATCAATGTGATCATTTCTTGAATATTTTTTTTTAACACTTTCTAGTGATTTCTTAGTGAGATTAGCAAATACAAGTTAACACAACATCAAAAGCAACAAGTTTTACCAAACATTTTGACTAATCAAACTTTAAAATAAAATGTAAAACAAAATAAAATTTTCATTCACATAATACAATATCAAGATTAATAAAATTCAGATGATTAATGTTTTTGTGTGTTATGTTATGTATACCTCGTTGAGTGGCTTTGGGACATGACCAACCAACATTAACAAGAGTGATGTTCTTCGGAAGCGGAACATTAGGAGGCGCAACACCAAACTGAGTACCCACGAGCTCCACACGTGCTTCCATCTGCGTGACGTCACCCGCCGTCATAATCGCAGACTTTAAATCCGCCGCGGGGTACCCTGCAAACGTCGTACCGTTCTCGACGCTAACGGGGAGACTAGAACCGTCTCCGAGAATAGCGTTTGTGGCGGAGACAAGAATCTCTTTGTGAGCGAATCCGACGAAGACTTGCCACGACTTAAGCTCTTCTCTGCCGTTGTTTAGGACAGTGATCACGGACTCGAACCGGTACGGTTGGCTTTTAGTATCGTTCGGTTTGATCTTGGTTCCGGTTGAGTATGTGTAGGTGAGGAAGATGCCGTTGCAGAGGTTAGCGTCGGGAGAGATCGATGGTGGAGTTTTGGGTTGAGATGATATTAGTTGAATCGTTGTGAATAGAGACAAGAGTATGATCAAGTTTTGAGCTAAACCCATGAGACGCATAGTTCTCTCTCTGATCAGAAAAGATCTTTGTCTTTTTGGATTTTATGTAATTGAAAAGAAGAATTGAAAAATGGGAGATTTTTTTTTCCTTATTTGAAGAGATGAAGAGACCGCGTTAAAGAACAGAACAGCTTAGTTATAAGCTGTAATGAAATTTATGTGCGCGTTTCACATTGGTGTTTGGTTGCTTTTTTGGAGGTGTATTTTAGAATTATTCAAAACTTTTCGTGTTTCTTTCTTGTTGTAGTAAACAAAAGAATTATGAAAGGGGCTGATATAGTATTAAAAGTTACAAAATGAACCCATTTATTGCCGCGTCAACTCAAATCGTGATATAGAAATTTACTCATGGCAGATTTTTTTATTTATTTCGTTTGGTAGTGTGGTGATTTATTATTATGAAAAAAGGATTTTTTACTATTTATTTGAAAAGTGCCTATGAAGAGTGACATATGTAGACGAGCCTGTGAAGATTTTATACCCATGTGGCATTAATTTCGCGAAAATATAAAAGGAAAACGTGTTTTCTAACTTTGGAAAGTTGTATATACCGGAAATATGAGTATGGAAACGTTGGATCTAATATGAAATTTTACTGATTTGATTTCGCATATTGAATGGCCTATTCCTTAATGTGTAAAGAAGACAGAGAGCATAAACACATAGACCATGCTGTCAGAGAAAAATCATTAACCTCACCACCAATTACATTGCTTAATATATTTGTATTTGTAACAGCTTATATGTTTGCATCCTTTATTTAGTGTTTTAATTATCTAACTTTACTGAAATTCAATTGAAATCTAGTTTATGTTGAATTTTTCAGTTTACAGCTCCTATTGCCCAATCATAAACAAAAACACATAACGTCTGACTCTTACTTCAGGAACTAATCTTTAGTACAACAGGAAGTAGCAGTGTCTTAAATTGAATTGACTGTGTAATAGGGGTTAAACCAGAAAAAGGGAGTTTCGTGAAAGAACGTCCCGTTGAGCAAACTAAACTTGAATCGTTCTAGAGGTTGCGACTTGCGAGGTTCACGGCTCTAGGTTGGACACGTCATCATTTAAATAAATTCAAATCAAAATGAGAGGTGACGCAAATGGACCAACATACAAAAATAAAAGTGGCGCGGTTGATGGAGACTAGACAACTAACAACCACGCGCTTCTTGATTGCCGCGAAAAGCCCATTTCCCTGGCCCATATGGGCCTTAGCAGCTACATAGTAATCAGCCCACGCGCATAAGCTAGCGAGTGAGAACTACGAGCTTAGAACCAAATCTCAATGATTAAAAATTTAAAAACACCTTGAATCAATTGTCTTCTACTTCAAAATTAAAACTTGATTATCAAAAAAACACATAACATTAGTGGGAACCAGACAAAAAACCCCGACATCACTAGCTATTACACAGTCAATACTTAATATCTCTATGTCTAAGTTAATTAAATAACTAATCAAAACCTCTCACTTTAATTATTCCCCTAAAACGATACCAAACAAAGAAGCTTTTTCTTCATCGTTTATGCATAAACAGTGCCACAAGAGAGCGCCATGAGAAGCACGGCGGCTTGTTCTTCCTCATCGAGTTTCTTCCATAGCTTCTTCTTCTTCTCAACCGCTGATCTCTTCATCACCGGAACTTTCAATCCTAGATCCAAAAACTTACTCACTCTTTTGCTGCAGCTGCTACTACTACTACTATGATCATCATCATCTTTGTTGATCTTGTTCTTGTCGTTTCGATGATGATCTACGCTTAGATCAGAATCACTACTGTTACTTGTTTTGTTTTTCTTCTCTGGTTTGCTTCCAAGTGCCGCTTGTCTCTTCTTCCTACTCTTGATCCCACAAGCATTGCACAATGACTGCATAGTAAAGAAACAGTTTTAGCTTTTAACGAAACGACCAATAAGAGCAGAAAAAAAAACAAACTCACCTTAGGTCCAGCAGGGCCACCACGCCAGAGAGGAGTTTTGGATGTTCCGCAATCAACGCAGGTCTTCTTCGTCTCGCTACCACTTCCACTGCTACTGCAGTTTTCGTTATCTACATCTGATAACTCTCCGGCAGAATCAGCTTTTGTCTTTGTTTCGTCTGATCTCTCGGACATTTTTTTTAAAAGAGGTGATCAGATCTGATCAGGTTTGATGATAAGGGAGAGAGAGATGGTAATGAGCGGACAAAACAAACGGAGGTGGTTTTTATAATTGGGAGTGAAGGCGGGGGCGGAAACCCTAGTTTTTCGGTGGTGTTTCATTTACGGAAATACCCTCGAGCGGGGACTTTTAATAATTACTTTTGAACTACCCGCCAGAACTTAACTAAACAATCTGTTGAAAAAACGAGGGAAAATTAAAGGTTTGATTTTTTTTTTGGTCAAATCAAAGTTATGTTTTCTTTTTGTTTAAAATGAAAAAGAGAAACAAAATCTCTTCCTCATCGTCGACAAAAAAAAAAATCTCTTTTCTCATCAAACAAAGACTGCATTGGGCCTAATTCAATAGTCTAAGCCCATGATCATGAGGCAGCAAAATGAAATTAATTTATCAAAATAGCAGAGCTTGTTACAAAAGAAGTAAGAGCTGCATCATCAGCTTAAACACAAGAGCATGTGATACAGGGTGATTAACTATTGCAACTCTTAGAATGGTCAGGTACTTGAAAGTACGATAAGCTCAACATTATTGCTTTCTAAAATTTTACACTCTGTAATGGTACAATTGAGGAAGAAACCATCCAAGTCTAAGAAATACAAACATCTTTTGCTGTGACCTAACTGTCATGTACTAACCCCACAAAATTTAGTACTCTGTTCTACATTTTTCCACTCAGGCTCCGTTTCCTCTTGTGTCTACGTCAAATAAGCAGAACGTGGCCATGATTCGGTTCTTTCCAAGATCTTTCAGACCTGAAAAGAAGCCAGACGAACCCACACTAATTATAGAGCAGAAGGGATCCTCTTTAACCAATTCTCTGGATCTGTTAACCTTTCTGGTTCCTTAGCCTTTCATTGTAGTATTTGAAAATACTCCACTAAGGACAGATTTTTCTATGAGGCTGAACTCGTTTCTCTCTTGAGTCTACTCATTCTCCGGTCAAGTTCTTCTACTAGACGCTTAGTGTATGAATCTGGCACAATTCCATGTCTCTCCATTGAACTGAACATCTCTCTTGCTTCACTCTCTCTACCACATTCACTCAGAGCTTTAATGAGAGTACTGTATGCATAGTTATCTGGTTTCAAACCACTCCTCACCATCCTTTTAACCAACTCCTCAGCTCTCTTTACCTTCCCCATCCTACAAAAACTCTGAATAACCGCATTGTACGCATAAACGTCAGGACTCAACCCATTCTCCTTCATCTCCGCAAACAGCTTCACTGATCTACCAGTATCTCCAACGGAGCAACATGAACGAATGAGTATATTGTATATAATCTCATTCGGCTCAATCCCCCATTCCAACATCTCCTTGAAACACTCAAACGCATCTTTTATCTCCTTTGCACGACAAAGACAGTTTATGATCGAACTGAAAGTGATCACGTCTGGTTTACAACCATGTTCCAAAAGCATCTCTACTACCCCATGAACCTTCTTCACATCCCCCCTTGAGCTATAACCACTAAGAAGAGTATTAAAAGTTACCAGACTCGGAGAAATACCTCTACCCTGCATCTCTTTTAAGAACATAGCTGCACGCTCTGTACGTTTAGCCTTGCAGAGACAGTCTATAACCGCATTATAATCATATACACTTGATATAAGCCCCTCATCACCCATCTGTTTCAGATATAGGTCACCTTCAGAAAACCTATGAGCATTCAACATAGCTTGAACCACCACAAGATAACCATTAAACCCTGGCTTAACCCCTCTTCCAACAAAACCATCAAAAATCTCACACGTCTCCACAAGATCATACCCTCTCAAAAGACAATTCATCGCAGCATTAAACGTTAAACTATCCGGCACATAACCTATCTTCCTCAAGAACAAAGCAGTCTCTTTACCCATAGAGCTACTCGAAAGACAACACAACACAGTATCATACCCCACTCTCTGCAAACAACTCAACTCTTTCTCCATAAACCCAACCAAAACCTCAAAAGCCTCACTTTTCGGCAAACACCGGAAAACCCCATGAACCAAACTCCTAACCGTAGCTTCATTACCACTCATCCTCCTCCCCCGCATCGTCTCAAACACCTTCAACGCCTCCTCAACCCTCCCCACCCTCAAAAACCCATCAACCAAAATCGTGAAAGTAAACACATTCGCCTTACACCCTTCCCTCTCCATCTGCTTAACCAACCTAACCCCCTCATCAACCACTCCCTCCTTACAAACCCCATGCACAAGTATATTATAAGTAAACCGGTCCGGCTCACAACCATCCCCACGCATCTGGTCAAACTTCAAGTAAGCCAAGTCTAAAGAGTTAGACTTCACCAACGCATCAATCACAGCGTTGTAAAGCCTCGTGCTAGGCTTCATCCCAAGAAAACTTATCTGAGCAAAGACATCATTACAGTACTTAGCTAAACCTAACTTCCCCCAGCTTTTAATCAAAACACACATAAGCTCCTCACTAATCTTAAGCCCTGAGTCTCTAACCTCCTTGAGAAGCTCCTTGGAGAGTAACAAAGGGCCTTTACGGAAGAGGATGTTACCTAGGACGGTTTTTAAAGTCTGGTCGTTTGTGTGGATTGGGTTTGTGTTGGAGAGCCAGAGGTAGATTCGTAAGGAGTGTAATGGGTTTTCTTGGTTCTGTAAGAGGCTGATAGGGTTTAGGTTGATTGAAGAAGAAGTAAGGGACTGATTCAGGATCAAGAACCAATCTTTGCGCCGTATGATTTGCGAAATGTAGAGATTGTCTATAGGGTTTGTTGTGGGTTTACCTGAGGAGAATAAAGGTTTTGGATTTAGGGATTGGGACGGTTTCGATGCTTTTGCAGCCGCCGCTGTTCTGTAAGATGAAGAAGTGAAGGCTCTCATGTCCGGAAGAGAGTGACCGCAACGACGGAGTTGAGACACAATCGCTTTTGGTCTTAAATCTCAGGAGAATGTTGGTTAAACGATGTCGTTTTTGGTAAACTCAGGTAACATTTTTTTTTTTTTTTTGGTTTAACCTAAAACACAAACCAAATGTAAGTGTTCTCTATTAAAGTGGTATGAATTGAAATTGATCATGAATGAACAATCAAATATTGTAAGATGTTCAGCATAATCTTGGAGTTTGCTTATGATTAACAGATTATTAAAAAAAATACACACATTACACTATAACTTTTAGTCTATACACTATACTACTATATGATTGTCACTATTTTAACATAACTATATGGTTGTTACATTTTTTTTCCTTACCAATTGATCACATGTGTTGTCCTCCTTTACTCTTTATCTTTTTACCAAGTCTGTAAGTGACGGTGTTATGGAAGCATTCTTCCTTCTCAATAGCTAAGCACTAAATCTTGAAGTGGTAAACACATTTGATCGCAATTAAACAAATGAAAATGTTGATTTTTAATACTAGAAACGCGTACAAATCTTATCTATACAGAAATACAGCATGTTTAAATCATTTACATATTGTATAGTTGTATATACCATTGAATTCGAATTTAATGAGTATTTTAGTGTTGAAAAGAAAAGGTCGTAAACCAAATACTCTCAATAAATTCAAACTTGATAAAACTTCTCTTTTGTTATCATCATCTCTTTGCAACAACACAACTATAATGGCAGAACAGGATCCCAACAATAGGAGCAAAACGATCATAGGATCTGAGTTTGTTTCTCCTCATCCTTTGGATCTAACCATCATTGGAGATACGGTGAAGAACTCGAACGGAAACAAAGTATTCAAAGTCAAAACACCTCTCTTCGGTCTCCACAACAAGAGGATTTTGCTTGATCCTAATGACTCTCCTATCGTCACCATGAAAATGAAGGTTCTAGTTAGTTTCCTTCACCCTATTATCATTTGTTTACCGGTCGATTTTCTGACTTTTGTTATGCTTTGGGATTTGAATTTTATGTAAAAGGTGACTAGTAAGCACGATCGATGGCAAGTGTATAGAGGAAGTGATTTAGATGATAAGATATTCACGGTTAAAAGATCATCATCGGTCCAGCTAAAAACAAGAGTTGAAGTATTCTTGAAACATAACCAGACCAAAGAAGCCTCTTGTGATTTCACTATTAAAGGTCGGTTTATGAAACGTGCATGTACAATCTATGTTGGAGACTCCACCAAAGTCATCGCTCAGGTAAATTTTGTTTAAAAAAAAATTATAGATGCGATGAAGACGTTTATTTTACTTAGAACTATTGTCATATGTGTGTGTAATATTGCACAGGTGCACGAAGGAGATGAGAGATTAGTTGCTACAGTTTACCCTAATGTCGATTGTGCTTTTATTGTTACACTTATCTTTATATTTGACCTGATTAATATGGCTGGGACTGGGGTCTGATTATTATTTTGAGAGCAAGTGTGTTCTTCGCATGTGTGTGTCTGTGTTGAGTTTAATATTTTCATACACATTTGTGTTTTACATGTCTAGATCTCAATCGCTATTCGTATAAAAAAGACAAAGAAATATTACAAAATCAAATTCATGTGTTACCTTTGGATGGCATATGGCCAAATGTTCTAAAATTCACTAGATGGTGGTTAGATGTTCTGTAAAGGATTATTATTTGAGCATGCGTCAACCCATATACTAATTCAAAACAAAAATCGATTAGAAAAAATTATTTTGCGCATACCCGATTTTTGAACTAGATATACGTCTAGATCGATTTTAAAACACAGATCCTTGTATGTATATATTATGAATATGTGTTATGGATTTGTGCTATTTTAATCATTTTAGTTTTTGAACTATTTTTGTGACATAAATTTTAAAATGTGCTATTTTGGAGATTTACCCTATTAATTTTGGAGCATTATAATCTTCTTTTGTAAATACGTGTCACAATGAGATTTTTTTTAGAAAAATATATTGGTCCAATTAAACATATGTTATAATTTTATTTAACTAACTATCATATTTAATTAGTAGTGTATAAAAAATATTCTCTATTCTTTTCTTAAATAA